TATATATATATATATATATATATATATATATATATATATATATATATATATATATATATATATATATATATATGTATGTATATGTATATATTTTTAGAAAAGACAATCTGTCGATAGACTTAGTCAAAGCTATAAGTAAAACGACGTCTATTTTAAAAGAATAAGGCAGATCTTTTCAGTTGCCTTTCATCTAAGAAAGAAAACAAATATCTCAAGAAAAGACGAAAAAATGAAAGTAGATATTTTATAATAAATTCCTAATTTCAAAGATCAGATTATTTACTTTCACAGAAGTGATTGTTTCCCTTAGAGTATACCGTATGATCTCAGCATATATCACGGATAAGGATTATCGCAGTTCTTCTACTGATGGCAGCTCGTCGTTACGTTATAATTATAACGTTTAATTCGCAATAGCTAATCACTACGGTGTTAAGTCGTATGTATACTCACATAAACTCGAAATTGATTTAATGTCTTAACGTTATATCGACCATCTCTTTCCGAGTCTCTTTTACATTCACGCAATTTCATGACCATGATTCTACTTCACCAACTATATCCGTCTCTCACAGAATAGGCCAACATGCGTACAATATATGACGGGAAGCTCTCAACTATATGAAAATAATTTCCTAGTTGTGTATATTTGAGACTTGCTTGGATGCGCAGCTCGTCACAAGAAGAGCGTCGTCTGCAAACGCGAAATAAAAATAATACTATCGTAAAAAGACATAGTGTATAAAGGAAGAGTTCGTGTAAAATATATACTCTAAATACTATTACGCATTCGCACTTGTGAACCGTCCAGTCTCCAGTTGCCGCCCAGTGTGGCGTAAATTTCATTTCGGATACGCAGACGACGCTCGCACGCGACAGACAGTATCACGCATAGTCTCCGATTACTGCAAGCGGCACAGGTAAGCCGTTCGTGTACTAAAACCAACGTAAGCTATAACTTAAAACCTATTATAATTAATGTAGTTTACATTACCGACATAAACATATCGGTCATTCACGCTAAAATGATCGAAGCACCCATCGGACGTAAAAAATAAATACATCGCGGTTAAGAAATAAATACTTCTTCTATCGACAATATTCCATAAAATAGAGGCGCGTGCAACGCGCGCTAATAATTCTTCCTTTTCCCGCTTGAATCGCGACACCGCGAAACAGCACACAAGCTCCTGAAGCGCATTAATCTATCGAGAGCATTAAAAGCTAAAGAAACGTAAAACAGAATAATAAAATATAAAAAGAAAAAGCTGTCGCTCCTCGCTGCAAAACAGACACCGGCACGTCGTTTAACGACCACACGTTTTATCTCAACGATAAAAGACAAAATGTGTACGCCATCTCCAGCGACATCAGCCGCTGTTAGGCCGTATTTCCTCTGTACTCTTTTTTTTCTTTCTACTCTTCTCTTCTCGTTCCCTGTGCAACATTTACAAAGCGTCAACGGGTCCCTAAGTCCTGCGAGAGACTGTCTCGGCCTTGTTACACGTTACGAGCGATGTCACAAAGGATACACACGTACGGCTAGCTGGCCCGGAAGAAAATTCGATCAAACTGCTCTACTTCTTCTCTATTTCATTACGAGCTGTCCAGAAAGAACGGTAAGGCAGTGCACTGTCTCGTATATATAGTATAGAAGGAATTCCCGTCGACCTAAGATTTCGACGCTAAGGGTCCGGGCTGGGAATTATATCGCGTCGACATCCCGACCCGAGATCTCATGTTCGTCACCGACGACCTGACCTTAGCTTTCCAGAGGCAGCTAGAAGACAGTCACGGCCTTGTTGCGGTCAGCAAGCGAAGAGCGAGCTCGTTAGGTCAACAGTTGTGATTAGCAGTGCCATTATTCACCTGCATGCCGATCTCCGTCTCATAATCGGTAGGTTGGCGCTTCTCTGTGGACTCGGATTTCTCCTTGGCGAAGAGGTTCGCTATGCAATATATCTGGAGGTAAACGACAACCGATTTAGCAACAATTTCGAAGGGATATCACGCGAGTGATTCGACAGCGGAGATCCCTCTCGCGCAGAAGAGACGAGAACTGAAGGAATCAACACTCACCACCAGCACGGCCATGATGACGCCGAGTGTAGATCCCGCGAGTACGTCGCTCCAGTGATGCTTGTAATCAGAAATGCGCGACATCGCGGTAAACCAAGCCGTGATCAGACATATCAGCTGGAGAAAGTGTTTGAGCAGCTTGCTGCCCTCCCATCTTATCCGCAGTTGAAAATATACCTAAAAACAATGCCGAGCGTTACACAATTTCTAAAAACTCTCTTCAAATTCGGCCATATAGAGAAACTCAAATCTTGGAGACAAGCAACTCGAGTCACGAGACATTCGACGAGAGATAAATCGATGTCTTTGTTATTAAAGATTTCGTTGAAGCGGCGAGAATTGCGTACAACTGAGTTACAAGTAGAAAAACTTAGAAGAGTGTGAAAGATATCTTGAATGATTATGTCATTCTCGTAACACTCGTTAACTTGACTTGTGATTAAAAGAGCGAACGTTATCAAACTGTTTTGTTTCTGCGCCTCGTTAAAGTTCTTGGCTCTTCGCCTCGTCTATTTTTTTTTAATAACGTCAGAAGCGAGAAAATGCTAAAAATTCTTACGAAATACGTTAAAATAAAAATATATTTCCATAAAGTAACACTTGCAATCGATTAAACAAATTTGTAAGATATTCCGTGCACTTCCCTTTTGCTCTAACGATCAATAATTTTTCGTAAATTAACGTGACACAATTCATCTTCCCAATCTATTTCTTCGCCTATTTCTATTCAGATTAATTTACAATAAATTATTGATTGTATTACTTTATGAATATATATTTTTATTTCAATGTATTTCGCAAGAATTTTTAGCATGCATTTTCTTGCTTCTGACGTCATTAAAAAGAGAAAGACAATGCGAGAAATTAGGAGCCTAATTAAGTGTCCTAATTTTTTAATCAGAAGGGGAAGACAGAGAGGTTTAACAAAAGACTAACTTAAAATATTTACTTTCGCAATATCGACATAGCTCATTATTTTAATTACAACGACTCTGAGTTTAATATCCAATATTTGTTGATCTCATTCTAATCGCAATCATTATCGCACTGACTCGACTTTGCCATGAATGTTCAGATACGCAACATATTCTCTTGGTGCTTCACATATTAAATTATGCAAATCAGTTCTTCGGACTCGAGGACTCGCCACACGATCGTCCGGGCCGACACGTTCGTATTAGGCCCGTCGAATGATTACGATCTGGCCATTGCATGCAAATCGATGCGCCTGCAACACGCAACCCGACCAACTTACCGCAAGGTAGATCATGGTGTAGGCCGAGAAAGACGAGTGACCGGAGGGAAACGATAATCTGCAACGATCAATCGTACCGTGTCAAATAAATCTCATTTATCGATCAGGGCACGCGGGCAAGGGAACGAAGGGAGAAAGAGAGAAGGGAGATCCGTCGCGCGCGCGTATACACGCGTAATGGCCCGGCTATTAATTCTATCGCGATTAATTCCGGGGTGTGCAGCGTGCCGATTACGATCACAGCGGACGTGTAGCCGCGAGCGCGGAGGATACGAAGAGGAGGACGAAGAAGAGGCTGAGGCGAGACGAGGCAAGAGGTTGTCTGCGAATCTCACGAGCAAAAAAGGGGAAGCCGGGAGGGAATCGCGAGGATTTGATTCTACCCTCTAATAGAGAGAAGAGAAAGAGAGTGAGAAGGCGGGAAGAAGAGAGAACGAGCTCGTAAAAAAATTCGGTAGGCGCAGCGCGTTGATTACGACCTGCAGCTCGGCGTTTTGCTTGGTTAGTAGACATTTCTCTCGCTCGTTCTTCATTTCAATAGTAATTAATAAAAATAATGTAAAACAAATTGCATCTTTGCGGATCGAATCAGGGCACGTCGGAGGTGGCCGAAAGTGGCCACCGACAGAGCGATCTGTCCTTAACGCATCCTCCGTTCGCGAAGGTCTCAAGGACTCGTGTAGGTGACATTGTTAGCGACGAGTTAACGAAATCCGTCGCGCGCCCACGCACTCTACGCTGTCTTTCTTCATCTGGCTCGACGCGTCCTTACAACCGCCACCGGTGCGCGAACGTCAGACCCTGACGGACGGGGCATCATGAATGAATGAATTCTCTGTGTGCCGCCTCTCTTTATATCGTCCTCCATTCCTCAAATCTCTCTCTATACATAAAACTGTCCCTGCCGCCGCAGGGCCGTCGCGAAGGGCGGATGACCCGCGATACGCTCGAGCGGGCGTGCACCGTACGAAGCGGCACCGAAAGAGCCGCCTCGTTAAAACACACGCAGACGCACATACACACATAAGCGCACGCAGATTGTTCCTTCTTTTTGGCCGCTTACACGATGATAACGCCCGACCATTTCTTCTCTCGGTCTCTCCCTCCTCTTCCTTCCTCTAGCACGCGGAGGAAAGACACGCGAGCGCGTTTATTATACATCGTTTAACGCGCCCCGGCGTCTCCGTGGACTCTGGAACCTAACGCACCGAATGCACCACGGAGAATCGAGGATGATCCCCCGAGATAACTCCCCCGCGTGCGTTCAGCAGCAGCGTCATTCTCGCGGGATATCTGGATCGGGCCGGTTTCACGACATGACGTCAACGAAGCCTCATACACACGTGTTATGCAACGCATCCTTTTCCTCTCCTCGATAAGCCGTGATTTTGTCCTTACACGCGGATATCCGTGTCACAGTCTTCCTAAGAATCAGCGGTGATTTCCCGAAGAATTGCTTCTAACGGTTTGCTGGAGCAGTTTAGCAAAATTCAGACAAGTTTGATATGTTTTAAACAGAAAAAATGATAAATAAACATTTATGATACAAAAAATGGCAAAAGCCCTGTAAGAGCCAAATGTACGTTGAGTCTTTGTCTTTCAATGCGTGAAAGATAAAGAATATTGTCGCAACAGAAAATATAGTACATGATAGTGCAACAAAAACAAATTTCGATCCTATCTTTGGGCTCTTATCAATGTTTAAAATAAACATCCTACAAATGTCTAAGATAGCTTGTATGTTTTAACTTTTAAACAACAAAGTAGGGTCTCAATAATCGCTTCATTGAATCTTTATGACATGCGCCAAAATTAGAGATATTATATTGAAAAAATATTTTGTATATAATAAAAAAAAATTTGTTCATGTTAAATTATTTCCTATTTATCCTAGTACAAATGTCTTTTTAATATGCCAAAAAGAAAAGAAACAAATTAGAAAAATGTTAGGATCACATACATGAACCCACACCTTGCTTACGTTCCATAATTTCAACTTGTCAGTTCCACAAGAAAGATATAAAGAGGTTGACCAAAGGCACATTTCAGAAAAAGAAAATGCAATTTATCTATCACATTTCTCTCCATTATTTTCAGACTTCCTCAGTCGAAATAATCGGAAATGCCTGACTCAGTTCCCCTACACGGAAAAAAGAATTTGCTGCAGCAGCAAACTAATTTGCTACATATGGACAGTTAAACATAATTCGCTATGTTAGCTACTTTTTCTTGCAGGAACCTATTTCCTTGCTATGATAACAAGAAAATCTGCTCCTATAGCAAGAAAAGTGGCTAACACAGCAAATTTGCTACAGATGGACAATTAAACATAATTTACTGCTTTAGCTACTTTTTTGTTGCAGGAGCGGATTTTTTTGTTACCACAGCAAGGAAATTGATTCCTGCAGCAAAGAAAAAGTGTCCAACACAGCAAATTATGTTTAATTGTCCATATGTAGCAAATCTTTCTTTTGTCCGCGTAGGAAAACCTATTCTTCTCATAAGAGTTTCCGAAGCATTCTCTTACTCTTCGACGCGTCACGTCCGAACAATCGGTCGGTCATCATCGCAGGCATTTATTCCCGACGCGTTTCCCTGACTTTCGCAGAGGATAATGACGTGCGCGCTACAACGCGGTGAGCGAGTTATTTCGAGTAATGAGCCACGTGTAATCCTTCGGTACTTCGCTGCGTTCTATCCCGCGCGAGAATCCTTCGCTCTTTGCGCTCACTTCGCGTCTCGCCTTTGTGGGAACACCGTTCCGCGTTTGCCGGGTAAATTGAAGACGAAAATTGCAAAAGACGTGCAAAAGGAGGAGCGAGACTAAGAGACGTTTCAGATGGTCCGCCACCGACGTCGCGGGTCCCGTAAGTGTCGGACTCAATTAATTCGCTCTCGCGGATCGAATGCATTCGTCACGTGTTCTTCAGCGTTGTCCCCGGGAAATTAACTGTCGGGAAGTGCAATACACGGCGTGCACACACAATGACTGCGTTCAGCGGAAAAAGCTGTTTTGCAACTGTTGTAAAATTCGTGAATCTGATTGGAGTGTGCTCTTAATTTTAGTTGAATCCAAGAGCATGTGTCAATGGCTGCGTTCAGCCATTATTTCGAGATCTCAACATTAGCTTGCGTTCAGCAGAGAAAGCTGCTTTGCAACTGTTGTAAAATTTGTGAATCTAATTGGCTGCGTTCAGCAGAGAAAGCTGCTTTGCAACTGTTGTAAAATTTGTGAATCTAATTGGCTGCGTTCAGCAGAGAAAGCTGCTTTGCAACTGTTGTAAAATTCGTGAATCTGATTGGAGTGTGCTCTTAATTTTGTTTGAATCCAAGAGCATGTGCCAATCAGATTCACGAATTTCACAACAGTTGCAAAGCAGCTTTCTCTGCTGAACGCAAGCTAATGTCGAAATAATCGCGGGATCCGAGGCGCAGAAAAGGAGCGAAAAATCCAGACGACAACAAGCGCGAAACGTTCGCTGCACGTGAACGCGCGCTCTCGAGGCAAGTCCGATCGTTCCAATAAAAGCAGGGCCGAGGGGTGGAAACCGTGAATATGTCGATACAATAAGGAGGGTGCGTACGCGGATAATTCGGGCGTGTAATAGCGTTTCCGTTAGCGTTCCTCGCACGAAGGAAGTAAGCGGAGGAGCGGAGAGAACCTCGCTCGTGCGAATTTGCCCGGTGGCGTTGCTCATTGTCATTCGCTACCGTCGCTCTTTTTGTGCGCGTATATCCGTTAAAACCGGCCTGCAAGCGGGCACACACACGTCCTGAACGCGAAAAGGTCTTGCTCACTCTCTTTCTCTCTCTCTCTTTCTCTGCTGCGTACTCTACGGCCGACTACAAAGGCCACACACGCGGTGAATGCGATCGATTCGTAGGAAACGCCCTGGCGAACCTTGAATCTCCGCAACGTTGAATCATACGACGTTTTAATAACGTTCGCGAGACACTGCGGCTCAGATTGCTGCCGGAGGAATGAACTTCAGCCCTTAATCGATATCGCGCTTCTTTTCAACGGATAGTTTTTTTTGCGCGTTCTTTGTTAGCCGTACACGAGGAGAATTTTACAGTAAAAGTTGCTGTAGAACCGAGACACAGACCGACATTCTGTTCGCTGTTTTTTTCATTTCATATTCGCTACTTATATTTCAGGAATCGCCAAATGTACTATTAAAACACTTGCTTTGTTTTTTTCAGCGAAATCTGCTATGGTGCCGGTGCAATTTACTATGTTCTTCAGCAAGGTAAACTTTACTCTGCTCCTACAGCACTGAAAACATAGTAAAATTAAGAATTTACATAAAAAAGAAAAAAACTCAAACAACATTCCGTGTGTGAGAACTCGAATTTTTTCTCGATATGCGTTCTCGAAATTACCGGAACATCGTGAGCTAAGCGAACAAATTAACGAAGGTTGTTTACAATGGAAAAAAGACGAGCGCAAGTAACTCGATAAGCGGCAGGCAGGGATGGGCAAACGACTGATAATCCAACGAACGAGCAACGAGAGCGAAACGTCAGCGGCGAGGTTGGAGTCGAGTATCGAATCGATTTAAAGCGACCGTCGTAGTCATCTTTCCGCGTTCGTTTCCCTTTGATTACTGTAAATTACCGTTTCGTTTCGTGTTCAGCAAGCTCGTCTCGCCTCGCACACTCGTATGCTCGCATGTCTCCACGGCTCTCCGTTAATGAAGTAAAAATAATGAACGCGCGACGGTCCCGTCTCTTCGCTCCTTGTTTCTTCGTGCTATCACGCCTCGCCCGTGGCCCGTAATTGCCCGTCGCAATTGTTACCGTCACGCGATCTAAACAGCTCAGCTCGTGTTCTCGGACACATCGCGGCAGGCTATTGCCCTAAAGACTCGCTGAGAACCCGCGAGAGCAAGATCGAGAGAGAGAAGAAAGAGAGAGGAGAACAGAGGAGAGGAGGAAAAGCGCGTCAACCTCTCGTGCCATGTAAGGGAGAATTCACACCTCAGCAGAAAGGCCGAAGCCGATCAGAATCTGTGCTGGCAGAAAAGCAGAAACTGTGGACTGCAACAGGGCAAGTTTCTGTTTTTCTTTCTGTTTTCTCCTTTTCTTTCAAGATAAGAAATTCTTCCTAACACCGTTAAAACTTCGTCAATCCATCTTGCGTCGCAAATGTAAATTATAATTTTCCCCTTCTCTCTCTCTCTTTCTTTGTCTGGCAACCGTAAATCGCAATGCACACGGCGATTTGGGCGCGAGGATAAAAAGAAATTGAGGGATGTTCCTTGCCGAGGATGAGTGAGAATACTCTGTACCTGATTTCCTTGAGTTTCCTCGCCGTAATGTTCGACGCGGTGCAGACGAAGTCCTCGATGTACCTGTGCTGATTCTCAATCGAGGAGCAGTTCACGTTAGGCACGCAGACCATCATGAAGTGCGGCCGTAGTCGGCCTATGGTGTACTTCGCGATGTCTGTGAGTAAAACGGTGCACGCCGTGCCGAAAAGGAACACGCCGATCTACGGATGTGCGTCACGTTGCATTATTCTCCTCGGTTTTCTTCAATTTATATCGTTTTATTTCATATTTGTATTTTCATTGTATTTCTCCATTGACCATCGGACGGTTCTTGAATGCAAAACATACCTTCTCGTAAGCGTTGCACATCCACAAAGGTACGGAATATCCAAACAGTACCTTCCCTGTTTGCTCGGTGCAGCGTCTCGCGTGCAAGTACTCTCCTATGAACATCTGAAATCAAGGTGGATCGCGATCTTAGATTGCGAATTTCTCGAGACGAATGTTCACGGTTAGTGCACGAAGAAGAATTTCTGAATAAACAGAACTATATATTCAGACTCTCTTGAGATGTACAATCGAATTAAGAGAGATAAAGACTATGAGACTTATAAGGTGGTATGCTGGATGTTAGTACGAATAATTTGTTTAATGGGATAACATAGTACTTAACATACCGCTGTCGACATGTTGTCTGACATACACGCTGAAATGTTTGTTGCGCCCGCGATGATGAGTTCTGCGTTGTTCCGGTTACACTAAGATCCCATTCGCGGTAGAGTTGACAGGAAAACTAGATATTTCGCGTCGGGCGCGGTTGTAATGAATCTTTACGTGCGTCTCGCGCGCGTGTTACCAATTAATCTCTCTTTCGTAGGATATCCGACTCTAATCGTTTATATCACCCCCGAATTCTGATTAGGGGGGATGGCTTGATAACAGCGGTGATTGCCTGATCGTCCAAAGCCGGTGGAATGTGCAAGGCGGTGCCTTTCTGCAGCGCTTGTACTTCCGCCTTTTCAAAGTAACGCTGTCGGAACGTCGTTGAAGGCGTTTTCGGCAGCGTTATAAAAGTTTTAGGTAAGTAATTATTTCGATTATAACATGTTTTTCAGACTTGCAACGTACGCGGCGAATGTATCTTCCATGTTAAATGTCCCTTTGTTCCAATAATTATACATTTAATTCAATTAAATTAAGTTAATATCGTACATTTGTTTGATTCTTAATGTTTCGAAAAATCCCCAAAATTATTTGCACCAACATCCAGTACACGACTCGTAGGTCTCTCTTAATTCCTGAATTGTTCACGCTATTTTATGTAAATGTCTTATCATATGTCTGATGGATTATTTCTTAGAGATTAGATACAGATAAAAAAGACAGTTATAGAATTAGAGTTTTAAAATCGTCGTAAAACTTGTAAACAATTAAGTTTCGACTAAATATTATCGTAAGAAAAAGTTAATCATCACCGTAATCACAAGTGTATGATATTGAAAACCGAGCGTCTCTAGAAGGAGGACGAAGAACCAACAATATTTCCTTCAAAGAAAGATCGACTTCGGCTTTGTTGATGAAGAATCACCGGCTGAATATCCGACACGTCCAAGACAGCTTGTACGTTACACCTGCGATACAATCTTTCATTCCGAGACTGCTTTACGACCCTTGTCGGGCCGTAAGAAAGATCCAATGGCTGACCAAAGGCGATGGTACTTCTGAGAGAGAAAACGCAGCTCAACAGCCATCTCTCTCTCTCTCTCTCTCTCTCTCTCTCTCTCTCTCTCTCTCTCCCTCCCTCCTCCCCTTATCCTTCTCTTTTTCTCGCTTTATACCCTTTCTAGATTCCACACACGTACCCTTGACAAAATAAATTAACCGGCTACATTGCGGGATAAACATCGCCAGTCAGGTGATACAGTGCGCCCAGTTTACGGTGTATGCCGCTTTTACCTGCCCTACCTGCTCTACCTAATGTGAGCTCTTACTCAAATCCAGAGCGACGTGGCGAGAGACGCGAGCGATCCCTTTCTCCTCTGCGCGAGGAAGGGACTAGAGAGTAAGGCGATCGGTCGCGAGAAACCCCGTGGGATCCACTCTATTCGTAGGGAGAAGGATTGTGAGAAGAAAAATCTTTCTCGGATCGCCATACAGGTACAGGAATGTGCGCACCTGTAAAAGCTATAAAACTGCCGCGCAGGAACGCGAAGGTGGGTAGGTAGGTAGGTAGATAGGTAGATAGGTAGGTAGGTAGGTGCGGGGAATCCCGGTGACTGGCGGTCGACGAGAAAAAAAAGTCAGCGTATCACAATTCGTTGTGAAAAGTATCCGATAAAGCAGAAGTGCCGATGGCACTAATAATACTGCACAGAGAGAAATATCATTCTACTGCTAAGAGAAGCGATTACTCAGCTTACGTTTCTTCTTTGAAGTAATAGCTATTTTCAATGAAGAATATTTGCTCAACAATAGTTTTGAAGTGTACTTATCATAAATTTTAGGAAGCATTTGATCATATAGTCATAATTATATATCATTACTGTATAAAGAAGAGTTTATTCTGTTAATAAGAATATATTACTCTATATAGAAGGACTCTATATATTAAGATCTAGAATGTATTTTGAACAAATTTAATATTTATGACGAGCTTATGATAGATTTGCGGATGTAAACTTATAAAATTCTCGGAACAATTAATATTTACTTGAATGCACTATGCATTTTTCTGCATGTAATATCTAACTATTCTTGCTGATTTGGTTTTTAAATATGAATATTTAAACTTTCAATGTAGAATATATGTGTATATTCAAATTATGATTATTACAATCGCGGCAGCTTAATCGAGGATATCAAATGTTCGCGAAACTATTGCTAACTCCAAACAGTCGTTGGTTTTGCGCAATCGTCCTTTTCCTTCGGAGATGTCGCGAACAGCCCGTGTGATTTCCTCGCAAGTCTTTTTTACACGTGACTTTATACCTCAACTTTTTAGACGTCATGGCTTAGTATTTCTCATACGGCGACGTGATCGGTATCCAAGCAGTCTCACTTTTCCGTCCCGCGGAGGAAGAAACTCGCGATCTCTCCGCGGGAAGTTCGGCGCGAGGTAATTCCACGCGCGCCCGCGAAGAAAAGAGTTGAGATTTATCTCCGCTTCGTTAGCGATTAATCACGACGCGAGTGGCGCGTTTTATCAAGTTAAATTAACAGTGCGACGTGTTTTCCCCGCGATATAATCGCCCGCCATTTCCTCCCGGCGTAGAAACGCAGGAACAAGCGACGGCACGCTCGCTTAACGAACGTAAAAGCGATCGCGGAATCGGAGAAGGATCCCCTTTCATCTTCCACTACGCTCGGCTACGTAAATAAGCACGAATACTCTCTCGCGGGAAGGAAGTCCCACGGCGGCGCGGCCGAAGCTATTACACGGATGGACGCTGTTTGCCGTTCATTTTAGCAATTACCTGCCGGATCCGCGACGTATTTACCGCGACAGAACGGCGCGCTGGCAGGACAGACCGCGCGGTGGATGCAAATAGGATGTTAATTAAAGAGACGCAATTAGCCACAATTGCGCCATGACCGACCTGCTCCGAAGACCGATCGATTATGGCGAATTATCGCGTCAAATTGAGAAAATTGTCGGTTATCTCGAGTTCGTACAATAATTCCACGTTCGACATCCTTATTAAAGCCTTCGAGGTCGTGCACGCAGAAAAATACACACTGCCTTCAAGTAAACGATATTCGTTTCAAGTGTCTCATAAGTTTATATATGTGCAGAACTATCGTGAGTTCGTCATGAGCCATCAAATTTATGTAAAATACATTCTGAATCTTACACTGAGAGAAAAATCATATTAAAATCAACAAATATTTCCTTGATGGGTGTCACTGACATATTTACTTAAATCTACATTCTCTTTATTTCAACCAAATATTGTTTATTTAAATCAGGTAAACAATATTTGTAGTAAGTTTAGTCGAAGAAGTTCAATCGAGGAAGTTAAATTAAAATTAAAAAAGAATACAATTTTAAATTAAAAGAAAATTAAATTTTCTTGTAAATTCGAAGAAAATATAATTGTTTATTTAAAAATTATTTTATGTTAGCATAAGTAAATATGTTATTTAATACCCATCGCACGAATATAAATACTTTTCATTTCTTAGATATTTTTTCCCTCAACGTACAAAATCGAACTAACTTTGATAAAATTCTATGGTATTCTTGTAAAGAGAGAATAAAGTCTCCTTTTCAGTACGTTCTTTTGAGATTTTTTAAATTTAATATTCTAAGACTGTTATCAAGGAAATATTCTTCGTTGAAGATAACCATTATTTAAAAGAAGGTAAATTGAGCAATCATTTTTCTTAGTAGTAAAATAATTTTTTCTATGTGTACATTGTAAAAACTGATGTGTTAAATTTAACACATTTCATGTGTCCCAAATCATCCACTCTCATTTATGTGTGAATTTAACACAAAACAAATGTGTTAAAAAGTAACACGCATAATATGGAAAAAATTAACACACGAATTTAACACTTGAACATCGTTAGGAATCACAGGTTGTGTTAAATTGACATATTTAATATGTCAGACGTAGATTGTCAATTTAATATTTTCATTTCATCAAAACCATAGATTAATACTTTTCTCAAATGTTAAAGTAACGTTTTATTTTAGTTAATTTAACATTATACATATGTCAATTTAACACAAACCGTGATCCCTGACGGTATTCAAGTGTTAAATTCTTGTGTTAATTTTTACCATATTATGCGTGTTACTTTTTACCACATTTGTTTTGTGTTAAATTCACACATAAATGAAAGTGGACGATTTGAAACACATGAAATGTTAAATGTAACACATCAGTTTTTACAGTGTAATAATTATTAACGTGCACTTTTTGCAGAAAAACGCGACCAAACTTGCGAAATGACCCGCGAGGCCAACGATGACACCATTACAGAGTCTATTAAAACTCGACACCCTGTGGATTACGGTAAACGTGCGTAGATGGTTGTCGCCGGGAATACGCACGCGACTCACCAAAGGAAATTATGGTCCCCTTTAATCTCCGCCATTATATTATAATAGGATCTCTCTTTGTGCTCTGATCATCCTTTGACGAGACTAACGCGCATTTATTCGCCCTTTCTCTCTCTCTCTTTCCCTTTCTCGCCCTCTTTCGCGTCCCCTATTCTCCCTCGTTCTCGCGCTCGCACGCACACGAAGAGGAGCGCACGCAATTTCACGTGCTCTGAATTATGCACGACTCCCGAAATTACTCGCTGTTCTCGCCCCGCGGTGACAGCGTTAATTCGTATTTGGTGCGGTGAGAGGACGAAAAAGAGCAACGAACGGGAGCGCTTGACGTTTGAAGAGTCGAGGGCGAAACGGAGAATTGCCGGAGTCTTTGCCGGAGCCGACCGACTGAAACGGCCCGAAAGCGGAGTGGTTTCCTACTCATGTGTCACTTCGCGATGACGTCCTCTCGAAATGTTCGCTTTCGCCCAAAGTGAAAGCAGGAATCCCCGTCGCCGTGAGATACCACAAATTGCGAATCGCAAGGCGCGCGACGTCGGACAAACGTTCGGAGTTCCGAGGAGACCTAACGAAGAGAGTGCATCGATCTTGTGACACAGATTGAGGACTGAGCACCGTATCCGGCGAAAAATTCACGACAGAGATTCCGACACGCGAGGGAGAAAGACACGAAATTATGTAACAGCTCCAGAAATAAGTGGAACCAACGCCGGCGAAGCGCGGCACCTTTTTCCTTCCACAAGTTTTCCAGACTCGCGGCTACGGTGAAACTTAATTTTGGAATGACGGACCATAGGCTCCCAATATTATTAGAGCGAGAGAATCCCATGGGGTCACGGGAATTCGATGTATTCGTCGAAGCTAGCTGGCACAGATTTCTAAACATTCGAGCAAGAGAAATACGCGAAACCTATAAATAGGCGTAAACTGCAAGTAGAATCGTGCCGATCGCTCTCGTAAACGAAGTCACGTGGGGACAGCGACACGTCGGAGGAGGAGAGGAAAATTTATTCGCGATTAAACGGAGAAAATACAACGTCAACGTACGCGTCACAGCACGTACGGTTTCCTCCAGCGACTGCTGACATTTTTCATTTCGTTTCCGGCGAGGAAACGCAGTCGAAGATTTTGTTTCGAGAGCATGCAACCTAAAAGATCTGCGCGCTCCGACGTGAAGTGAAAGGAAAAGAGTTGCTCGCACACACTCTGCTATTAATCTTTCTTTTTAGGTTTGGTAACAATATTTGACCGATGTACACGACCACGTGTACCACTTCCAGATACCGGAAAAAAAATCAATTCCCACGAGCCCCGAAACTTGAGGATATGACTCAGAGCGCCCGAAAATAATGCTTCTTCCTCACTCTCTTTCTCTCTATAAAAAGAATTCGGCGACACCAACAATTTTCGAACAAAAACTTTACGTATGTGCGATTAGATTCCACACGCAGAAAATATTGTAGTAAAAATTACAACAGAATTTTTGTAATTTTGGAGATCCATAAAGAATTGACAAAAATTACATATACATGTATTTATAATACATAAGATATATTCATCAAAAAAATGTTATTATGCAAGTTTGACTTTTGTTACAAAATTATTGCAATTACTTGAACGTTTTTTATATCATATATTCGGGTAGATCTTCAAACTTTTGTTGTGATTTGTATTATGATTAACCATAATTATGCAAGAATGATTGTTACATTAAATTGCAGCTTTACAAAGAATATTGTAAAAAGATATATTATTTTACTTTCTCCTACAATATTTCCTCCGTGTGTATTGCAGTTATATTCCCTACAGTAGACAGCAAATACTGGAATACTTATCTTACTGAGAGAAATCAAGCGCAAACACTTGCAAAGACCGACCACTTAATCCGCGGCGTCTAAACGCATTCGCTTGAACATCTTAAAGCTATGTTTTTCCAACTTCTTTCTTCTTCCTTTGCACTATGTATCTTCTCGTAACGCTCTTAGAGGATCACGGCTCTAGAGCGATAACAGACGCATCAATCAATCAATCAATCAATCAATCAATCCATCAACCACTCTCCCTTCCTCGGCCTACGTCCACATATGCTCGACAGACAGTGGGCGACACGAGTATTCTTAGACGCCACCTTATTCTCATCCCACCCTCTCAGAGGGCGAGGGGGAAGAGCCTGAAAAGCGGCGGCACGCGACAAGACCTTCAAATCATCGCGCGGTCGCTCGCACGGGAGCATCTGTTACTGATTTCCCTGACATTTCGCGACGAGATCCGAATCAAAGCGCGCTCGTCGTGAGAGATGAGAGATTGGACGCTCCTTGAGCGGCTCGTGAATTGTCACACGATTTCCCGCGGTAAATCGAAACATCCCGTGTGTACGCGAGGTGACTCACCGAGAATACTGGAAGGAAAATGCCGACGACATACAGCATCGGACTGGTGACCGTGGAGCCGTGATACGGGTGATACAGTGACTCATCGTTGCAGAAAAAGCCACGTTTGTACGGTTTGCCGAACAGGAAGAACATTAGCACCGAGATACCCACTGAAACAAACAAACTCGTTAGGTTTGTACCGATCGCACGATCTGCGTTATCGCTCGATCTCCCCGATCGGGACCAATCGGCGATCAGGCGTCTCGCCGGGCTTCGTATTAACGTGCAATTCATTACGCTAATCGCAGAGATCGCGCTGCACAATAATGTCTCGACTTTACCAAAGAATATGCTATTGATAATTTGCTATTGATATTTCGATAACCGCCAGTGAGTTGCAAGATCTTCGTAAAAGTTCACGACTGAAATTGCACGCGAGTGTCACGATCGGGCGATCATGCCAAATAAACGAGGCAAATAAATAGAGCTAGCTAGTTTATCAGCTATAATTATCGTAACAGACATAATTATAGTAATCATGGCTATGATTATCGTTACGGGGATATTATCGTAATTTCTGCAATCTCCGGATATTGTTCTCGCAACTACATGTAGGGTGAGATTGGAGCAGATTAATCATACACTAAAAAAAAAGTAGTCTTACAGTCGCAAAGATTATTTATACAAAAAATTAACTGCGACCAATAACCAGCAAACTTTGGGATATCGCATACGTTTTGCATTTAATCGATGCAAAAAAACGATAGAGACAGAATTTCCATATAAACTATTTGTAAGATTTGTAAGGAAGAGAGTATACGCAAAAAAATGATTTAGTAATATCAACTAAACCGCGGTAGCTGATTTAAACTTAGTCAAAAGGCTAATTAGCTTTTACTGTTAAGTAGTAGCTGTTACTGTTAAGAATTGGCTATGACAGCTAAGATGCATTCGCTATGAAATACAAATATATTAGGTGACATTAAAAATGCACATTATTTCAAGTAGCTAAGAAAATGGCAGTTTCTAAATTTCTTATCGTATGCATATATTAAAGAAGTTTGCCGTACAGCTACAATCATTTATTACAGTCATTTGTTTCTAGCAGTTAATATTTCTCGCTGTAGCGCCTAAGTTTAACAGCGAATAAATTTAGCTAGTATCGACATTAGCTGTCCCTATTTCAGTGACACATCTTATCTGCCACAGCTATTTTTTAGTTCTGGAAGCTAGTTCATTTTTTGCATATACTCTCTTGAAGTGAATCAGTGAAAGTCACTGATATCAGTTATAAGTATAGCATTGAGCAACTTTCAATGGCAACACTCACAACCGCAAATCAGTGTATATTCACTGTTTTCAGTGATGTTTCACTGATTCATTTTAAATAATAACAAAGTTGTGATAATTAAAAGATGTTATAGTTAATGGGTAAACAGTAAGTATGTAAGTATGTAAGTCAGCATAATGTAAGTTAGCAGCGGATTGAGAGTAAAGTAATGAATCACTGTACAGTGATAAGTTAAAGAGTGTATGGAAAAAAGGTTTGGTTGAATTAACCAAATATCTGGTCGAATATGAACGATCCAGAAATTCCGATTAAAGTAACCCGAATTCTATATTTAAGTTAACAAGATTTTTAGTTGACTTTAAGAATTCGGGTTACTTCAATCGGAGTTTCTGAATCGTTCAGAATTATTCGACCAGATATTTGATTAATTCAACCAAACATTTTTTCCGTGTGGAAATTTAAATTCTGATATTTGTGATTTGTAGACAGTAACAGTTGCGATGTTAGGATAAGAATATACGTAAAATAATACACGCAAAGAAAGAACTAGCTTCCAGAGCTAAAAAATAGCTGTGGCAAATAAGATGTGTCACTGAAATAGGGACAACTAATGTCGATACTATCGAAGCTAAATTTATTCGCTGTTTAAACTTAGGCGCTACAGCGAGAAATATTAGCTGCTAGAAACAAATGATTATAGCTGTGCGGCAAACTTCTTTAATATATGCATACGATAAGAAATTTAGGAATAACTGCCATTTTCTTAGCTATTTGAAATAATGTGCATTTTTAATGTCATCTAATATATTTGTATTTCATAGCAATTTATTGCATTTTAGCTATCATAGCCAATTCTTAGCAGTGACAGCTAAACGATTAGCCTTCTGACTAAGTTTGAATCAGCTACCGCGGTTTAGCTGATATCACTAAGTCATTTTTTTGCGTATATAGTATTAGGTACGTATAGTACGTATTAGGATAAGAATATACGGTTTAATATAAGGTATAGACGAAAAAATTGGAAAAACATCGCGATAACTCTCCGTCAACAACGCGCAAGAGGACAGACTTTGTTGATCGCGAATTGCAGCATTAGAGGCACCGTTAGGGCTCGTTAAAGCGAGAGTTGCGCGTCGCCTAATTATCGGGCGTGTTTTTCCAAACGAGATAGCATTTGTTCGTTTTTACACTTTGCAGCTCACCTGTCAGCGCATACATTAACGTCGCGAGGCGGAAAATCGTCGGGGAAAATTATGGACCACCTGTCGGCGGGAATTTATTTACAACCGCGCGCGCGCGTGTGTGTGTGTGTGTGTGTGTGTGTGTGTGTGCGTGTTACACACCATTGCTGCTGCTGCTGTTGGTACCTGAAAGTCACGGCGAGAGACTGACCGGTAGTTGAGATAATCGCGACGCTGTTTTCATCGAAACGAGGTAATACCACGGTGGGCTGTAACAGGTCGCGCGATTGCGCACCCGCTTATTATTTATGTAGTCCGTCGCCCGAGTGTGTTTTGCAAGCCAAATTGCGCCCCCGAAAAATTGCGACCGCGATTACGACGTGGGGAGAACGTTGCGCGGCGACATCGAGATCTCGCGTCGGTTTGCCTTCCCTTTTCTTCTCTTTCCTTCTGCTTCTCGCTGCTCCCCCTACAGCGGAGTTAATTTTGCAATTTCATGAATTATTAACGCGGATAGATATAGATAGATCTGTTCAATATTGCGAATATGTCAATTCCCAATGTGAGTCAACAGCCGAAAATATATTTGCTCGTGAATGCCGCGGTATCTATTCACGTCGCGACTCGCGGGAACAACAAATCAGGCGGTATAACTGTTGGGACGATGAAAAAAAAAAGAAAAGGGAACTGCCATACGCTAATTGACGATCTCATCGATTCTTAAGCTTCGTCCACAATACGTGGAGTAAGTTTAGCATATAAAAAGTAAGAGTAGGAGTCATCAAACTAATTTATTTCACTTATATATACACTACCCGTCAAAAGTTTTCGTACACTTATAAAATAGAAGAAAATAAAAGAGAAACGAGAGAAATATTAAACTAATCTACATTTTATTAAATACTTTTTAAAGTAGATATTTCAATAACACATTGAACAAAAATATTGAACAAAAACATATTCTAAGTATTATAAACTCCATCAAGAACTTAAACTGTCTTCTCTTCAAAGAATCCGCCTTTTGCCTTGATCACAGCATCGATCAGTCTTGGCATGCGTTCTACAAGATTCTTTCCAAATAATCTTTCGAAATATTATCCCAGGCCTTTTGAAGAACTTCCCACAATGTTGAAACATATGACGGATAATTCTTACACACTTCACGGTCCAATTGGTTCCCTTTGAAGAGAAGTTTAAGTTCTGGTTGGAATTTATGATAGTTAGAATATATTTTCATTCAATATTTTTGTTCAATGTGTAATTGAAACATGTACTTTAGAGGATATTGAATAAAATATAGATTAGCTTAGTATATTTCTCTCGTTTCTCTTTTATTTTCGCCTATTTTATAGGTATCTGGAAGTTTTTGACGGGCAGTGCACATCTAAACTATAGCTTCCATACACCAAAAGTATTTCTTATTAAATTATTATTTAAAGTAACTAAAATTATTATTAAAATAACTTTAAAATTATTATTTAAAGTATTTATTCTTGACAGAAAGACTTTTGGCGCAAAGAGAACTCGAGTATAGACGTAAGCGAAATAGATTATTTTTACTTCTGACTCCTGCCCTTACTTCTCGCTCCAAGCTTGTTGTAGACGAAGCCTTACGAATTAGCCGTTTCTCGAAGTACGTCCGCCGCCGTCGATATTTAAAACAAGTTCGTGCTTTGAATCGCTTTTAACTCGAAGTAATCGCTTGATCGTGCGCCAACGGCTGCCGCGATAATAAATATTTCATAAATTCATCAGCGCGAGCAGCAGCCAGCGACTTCGACCGTGAGCTCTCCGGCGAAGGAAAGGGTCAAGTGCGAAATGAAGTGCGCAAGAAATTCGCGACCCATTTACGGCTCATCGCGTCTTGCACTTCTGTCGCGGGCGCGTTACGTAATGAAAACGAATAATAATATTATTACGTTGTCAAGCGCAAAACGTCGCTCACGCAGTGACGGAAAAGGGCCAAGGACTTTATTCGACGAGGCATACAAAGTGAACATTCATGACCGGAGGGACTATGGAGAAACTCTGCGGATAATTAAAAACCTCAATCTCGAGGCGCGACGTGTAGGACGCGGAAATCGACGATATTTCAGGGCTATACAGGAGATGTTGAGAAAAAATTTACTTACAGCGAGTCAGATACAAAGGTCACCTCAAATATTCCGATATTGAGCAATAAAAAAAATAGTGCCTGGAAAAATTTTATCACGGAAAAAAAATAATTTGCTGCAGACTAATTTGCTACTTATGGACAGTTAAATTCGCTGTATTAGCTACTTTTTCTTTGCTACAGGAACCTATTTTCTTGCTATGATAATAAGAAAGTCTGCTCCTACGACAGGAAAAGTGGTTAACGTAGCGAATTTGCTACAGATGGACAACTAAACATAATTTACTGCTTTAGCTACTTTTTTGTTGCAGGAACAGATTTTCTTGTTATCATAGCAAAGAAATTGACTCCTGAAGAAAAAGTGGCTAATACAGCAAATTACGTTAGTTGTCCATATGTAGCAGATCTTTTTTTTCCGTGATAATTTTCAAGGAGACGTAATGACAATGATTTTTTTTGTAAGTGGAGGTATGCGGATAATTAAAAACTTCAATCCCGAGGCGCGACGCGGAAATCGACGTATATTTCAGGGCTTAACAGTAGATGTTGAAAAAAAATTTACATACAGTGAGTCAGATACAAAGG